TTCAGGCTCATAAGTCTCTCCTCGTTTCTCTTTAAGACGCTGGAGATACTGGTCGATCTGCACTTAAAAAGCGGGATGCTCAGGGAGCGTCTTTCCTTGGATCAACATGCCTACTGCAAGGGCAGTTCTGTTGAACTGGCCCTTGACAGTGTCGAGCAGACCTTTTCCCTAAAAGAATATGCGGTCGGTGCCTTGATATCGGAGGGGCTTTTATTAATGTTTTGGCTCTGAGGCTGTAGTAGCTCCCTAAACAAGCTAGGGGTCGGAGGCGAACTTTTCAGGTTTATTTACCGCTTACTTTGCAACAGAACTGTCGCAGCAAAGTTGGGGGGCGCTTCAATCTGGGATGTGTGAGTAGAGGCACCCCGCAAGGGGGTTGGTTGCCTATGCTGATAATGTAGCTTTGATATTAAAAGGCAAGTTTCGGGAAACACTGTTGGAACTTATATAGGATTCACTGAGCTTGGATTAGAACTGAGCTAGTTGTGGGCTGAGTGTAAACTCCATTGAAATGGAGCTTTTTCTTTGTACTAGAAGGTATAAGATACCGAATTTCTGGCTTCCTTCAACGGGAGACCTTCCTCTAAGGTCCCCTGACAGGGTGAAGTACTTGGGCTTGATCCTTGACAGTAAGCTTTCCGCGAAGCCTGACGTAGAGGATTGAGTCAAGAAGGCTACAGTTCCCTTGTATTTTTATACTGCGGTCATTGGAAAGCGCTGTGGTCTCTCGCCGAAGGTAGTTCATTGGCTTTATGAAAATATGTTCAACTAAGTGTTCAAGCCAATTTTATTATATGGGGTTCCATTTCTAAGGTGGTTCCATTTTTAAGGTAAGAGGAAGGACATAAGGAGTCTCTAATGTGGTATCCCGACGGGCCAATGGTGTGCTCTTTTACTGTGCGTGATGAGGGCAGCCGAGATAACCTAACCTAACGTAAGGCTAAGTGGCATGGGCTTTAAGTTCGCCTCGAGCTATGTGCACTCCAGTATTCTAAACTGGACTGGTTACTTTCTGTGGTAACACCTATTTATTCCAACGGCCCAGCAGCTATCAAAACTCTTGTCCCCTTGACTATGCGTTTAAGAACGGTGAAAAAGTGGTTTACTTCCTTATCGACCGCATCGGATTACTTCACTACTAAGCTTATTTGGGTTCCAGGTCACAGCTAAATAGCTGGAAACTGCATAGCTGATGAGCTGTCAAGACAGGGAATCCTCGAGGAATTACTTTCTGTTGGGTAAGCTCTAGGCACTCAGCTCAGTGAGCGCTGAGAGAAGACCCTGGAATACAAGGTGGTAAAATCCTTCTGGCCACGTGTAGACGGGAGGCGGTCTGGAGAGCTCTTGAGACTGGGAGTGATAACTGGTCACTGCATGATAGGTAAGCATGCCGTAGGCTGAACATAATGTATGATGAGTTGGAATCATCTGCATTTTTTTCGTACTCCCGATGAGTTTTCGAGAATGGGCATCAGTCGATTGAAGAGTTTTGTTGCGAGCACGGAGCGTTTCTCCTGCATAAAGCCATAGGTGTCATTCTTTCTTACCTCCCCCTGTTTCCCTACCCTCCCACACCCCTTCAGGCCTCCCTGCGTTATTTGTCCTCTCCACTCTTAAGGGCATCACAATGGATGGCTTAGTAGAGTCTAAGTTGGTCTCCATCTATGAAGGCAGCCCGCTAATCTAACCTAAATTATTTTAGATGTGCCAACTGCTGCTCGGGAGGTTCATGGTTCAATTTGTGGTCCCAGTAGCATCCGAAAAAGTTTTTCTTCTTAATAGCGGTCTCCGCTCGGCAGAAAATGGCTAACCTCCGATTGTTCTTCGGAGGTGGAGTGTAGATATTTCCATTTGTGTCACAACATCAAGAAGCCAAATATGAATTGGTGAAGCTCTATGTTTACGCTAGTATATTTAAAATTGTAAGATTACGGGCACTACCATCATAGTAGCTTTCACTTCATTTCAGTTGTCATTAGCCACCAATACATAGACTTTGATAAATAGTCAAATGTAGAGTCAATCCCATTCATGCATTCAAAAAAATCACTTTACTTGCCGCACTCTCACTCATTCCCTCACGCACTCGTACTCGTACATTTCATCCGTCACAAATGTTTACAAGAATATATTATTATAAAAAGTACCAATATTAATGATATGTATTCAAATAACAAAACCAACCGATTTCCCTGCGAAAATTCTAAATTTCCATTTTTTTATTAAAATGAGTTGAATACGAATTGACTAAACTATTGGCCATGTGAGACAATTTAATCTGACACTTTTAATACACAATGAGAAAAAATTGGCAATAGATAAGTTGTTTATTTTGTTATGTCTTTTTGTGTATCTTCAATTGAGTTCTCTGATTTTAATTCCGTCTTAAAAACCATTTTCGTTCAATGAGTTTGTTGTTTTTTTTTTAAACTCGGTTTAGTTAAGCTCTAGTCACAATTTACCACGGCGAAGCCTAATTTATATTTTACAAGCTTACAAAACACTATTTTGGTAGTATTTACTCGTACAGCATCAGTGCTGCCACATATTTAAAATTTCGCACTAACAAAAGCACTTTCCCTGAAGTGTCATACTTTATTGGTATGACCTCGGCTTATTATAAAATGCACAACTATTTCGATATAAGTTCTTAAAAATGAATCGAAAGAAAATTTTCGGTTCAATTAAATCATTAATCGAATGAGAATAACCGATTTTAATCGGTTATTCGATTAATCGTGCCATCACTAGATGTAAGTGACTGAAATGTATTGAATAATTTCATATGAAATCAAAGGAAAGATTTAAAAAGCTTTAAGTTAATTATGACCACAGAGAGCTTTTAAAGATCGCGCGTCTAAAGCAGAGATGAACAGAGAGAGCTTTTGAGCCTTGCGTGCCCATAAAAAAATATGGTTTGGAAAGCTATTCCCCGCGTTTGGCTAATTAAAATTTTATATAAGTTCTTTAGAAAACTTAATAGCTCTGCCAGCGGATTATGTTCCGACTTATATATACTTATCAATATAATGAAGGATTGCAAAAGCTCCACCAGGAGCTATGTTTTGAGAGTCTTCGATTTAGTAGGCGTGAAAATTAGTGCATTTCGTACTACGAGTTCCATAATATAATACAAAAATCTTTTTTTTTTGTTCGTGTGGAAACAGGGAATTTCGATTACAAAGTCCTACCCGAGCTCCCACTGCTATTCCCAGCCTTCGCACTCCTGCACTGCACTGTGTTACCTTGCCACACAAATACAAATACAAGTAAAAATATGTAAACAGTTAGACAGACAGCACTGCACATCTATACAGCACTGACACACAAAGCTGCTTTAAAATTCAGTTTTCACGTTTTTCAATTTCTTCTACTTAGCTTCCTTTCCTTTGTCGTTCATTTGGTTGATTTGGCATAGTTTCCTGTAAGACTTGCTTTTGTGTGTCCTTTGTTCAATTTTTGCTATTATTTACTTTTTATTTCATTCCACTTAATAATTTCAAATTGAGTTCGTTTATTTCGTTTTATCGTTTATTCGTCTGTGCTCCTCCTTCTCTTTTCTCTTTTGTCTCTTCTATTGCCAAATTTTTTCTTAACGCAGAGATGTGTGCAGATATTGAAATCATCACGTCAAATCAGTATGACGGTACGCTCGCCACCGACGCTCAACTCCCACGCGCCATTGCACGGCTTCGGTCCACCTTCATCGCGGGATCCCATGTACGCATCGATGGCGCCACTACTGCCACAATCGGCGGCTGGTTTGCCACCCGGAGCGACGATGATTGGTGGCAGCGGTTTGCCATTTCGTCAGACATGTTCCTGGATGGACCGACATGGTCGTCCCGCATCGCCGCCCATGGAGTATGGTGGACGGCATACTGATCGCCGAGAAAGGTGAGCCCACTTACAATGCAAAAGTTTTTTCTATTCCCAAAATCACTTATTCCTTTGTATATATATTTCTTTAGAATACGACGCGTTGAGCTGCTCATTGAACCGGGGCAATCGCTAGGTCTCATGATACGTGGTGGCGTTGAATACGGCCTCGGCATCTTCGTCACCGGCGTCGATAAGGACAGTGTCGCTGATCGAGCTGGCCTTATGGTCGGCGACGAGATACTCGAGGTCAACGGGCAGTCATTTCTTGACGTGACACATGACGAAGCGGTCAGTCAGTTGAAATACCATAAACGTATGTCGCTTGTGATACGCGACGTCGGTAAAGTGCCACACTCCTGTACATCCATTGAAATGGAGCCTTGGGACGCTTATAGTCCGACGGGGACGAGGTCAGTTGTCTACATTCGTTAAGCTTTACAAATCTTTAGATGCTCAACTTTTATTTTGTATTTTGCAGAGCACGTCGAAAAGGTCAAATAACCGCAATGGTGGAGGAGAAGGCACGCTCTCTTCTGCCACGCCATCAATTTGCAAGTCTCTCCTACTATATTGCCGAATATGCTGCGAGAGCGATGACCATAGATGCCTTTGTTGCCGTTTTATTAGAAATGCTTGACACATACGAGAAGGTAAGTGAAAGCAATTGATAACTGTCGCTTAAGCTATTATTTAAGGAGAGCCACAGTCGACTACAAAGATATTGATAACAAAGTATCGGCATTAAAATATGCAAAGTCAAAACTAACATACTTGCCGCTTGCTTACAGTGGCAAAGTCGACTTTATCCTTAGTTTTATTTTTAGATAGCCATAGAGGTTCTGTCATTCACTTCCGAGTGAATTCCCCATTCAATTTGAATTCAAAATGGCTTTGGTTGTAATTCATTCGGAAGTGAATTGCAGAACCCTCCCGAGAATTGGGTTATTCCTAAAAGCAATTCTTCTCTTTTTAGCATACGTTAGTGACGGAACTACGCGAACTCATATACCCAGAGGATCGTGCGCGATACGATGAGCTTGTTTATCGTAGAGAACGTGATCCCTATAGCGTGGAGAGGCACAGGGTGAGTGAAATAATTTTTGAATTCCTGGTTTAGAATAAAATTAGTAATGAGGTTTTGAGCCCAAGAAATATGAAAATACCAAAACAAAGAGAGGGAAATAGTGCAATAGCAACTGTGGTTAGTTTTAGAACTCTCATTGTAGGCAACTATTACTAAAAGGAACGTATCTAGGAGTCCACAGGTCGAATCGGTTAAATCCATAAATGAGCTACAAGTTCGCTTAAAAAAGAAACGTTCCCCTAAGATTTACGATTTCATTTTGCAATTCTTGAATTTTATGTAAGGTAATGTTGTGCATTATAGCTGCCTTCATTCAGGTCGGGGAAAGAACGGGTGGTAATTCTGCGATGGTAAATAGATACAGCTCATTGGTTAAAGATGAACCCTTAATCGATGTTCACGGACACGGGCAGATATCCGCTGTAAAACTTGAGGCAGGTGCGCTTAGATTAATTTTGTTTTTTTTTTATGGGGAATCAATTGCCAACGACAACAAGGCCTCGTGATGCAGTAAAAGCACCGTTATTATCGGAATCGCCATTAGAATAAAGTCGGAGATCACCTGACTCACAACCACCCCAGGCGCATAGCAGCGCATGACGCCATGAATTTTGTTTAAAATTTTTAGGCGAGCATGTCATTCACTTGGACTTTATGGCATTCAAAACGAAGCGGAGCGATTTCTAAAATGACCACGCAGGGATTTTACATCTGATAAGCTGTTAGATGAGCAAATATTGTAGTATGTCTTGAAGTACTTGCATATGCAATAGTATTATTTCATTGAGCTACTTTGTGCAGAAATATGCGCATATGCACTTCTCAAACGGTGCATAAAATATTTTAATGATGTTGTAAGTCAATATAACTACATATAATCTGCAATGTATCTGAGGCGTTTATGGATCAATTTACGGGTTTGTTTAAAATTCTAAACTAGATTTTTTTTTTTAACAATGAACTAATAGTAAAACTAGTAATTCGTACCTTCATTTCCATGCTGAATTAGGTAGATAACTTTAGAGCGTAGCTAAAACATGTTGTTACTTTATTGTTCTCTACCCTTTCTCCCTCTTTATTCACTCATCACCACAGCGTAAAGGAGAACCCGCACGTGATTTACCGGTAAGCTTTTTAGAAGATTTATTCTACGATACAGACACTATTTACTACTAGCATCCTTACTCAAGTCCATAAATGTTGTCTTCTGACTACAAAGAAAAAATATAAGATACAAACTCAAAATAGTTCTATACACTAAGCGTTTCGTACTATCTACTCTAACCTTATTAGCCCGTATACTGACAAAAATAAAAAAAACACCACTCAATATAAATATCTAACTAGCTTTGCTTGACAATATTATACATATTAACACTAGTTAATAAACGTATTTACATACATATGTAATTTAACAAAAAGGCATGTTAACTATAATTGTTGTTGTAATGTAATTGTTGTATCTTTTATTAGTCACACTCGATGTGTATAAACTATACTGAACAGTTAAAAATAGCCAATTAAAATTTGTACGCTAAAGATTGTTAATAATTATTTATGTTTTTCTTCCACTGTAACGAATCTGCCCAGTAACTCAAACTCAAAGCAAACATAAATTCGATTGTTGTTGTTGTTTATAATGAAGAAAACTAGAAAATACTGTAGTTGTGATTGCTTTTCTGTTAGAAATTTATACACTGTACTATACAAAGACAAAAATATACTTCTCAATTAAAAAAATGAGACACTAACAAACTGAAAGACAATAATGCAGACAAATCAATAGAGAAAACACAAAGAAAAACCAAAAAATAATAAATCTACTTATTATATTACTTCAATTACATTGTACACGGTATACTCTTATTACCATAACAAATAAAATAGAAACATACAAAGAGTGCATAATTTTTGCTGAGCATTTTGTTAAAACTTGCTAACAAATATATTGATTTGATATGTCAAAGCATGCGCTTAGCAGCGCTATGCCAAAAACAAAAAAAAAAATACGAAAAAAAAATAACATTTTATGAAAAAAATAATCAAATTAAAGGTACCAGCAAATACAACAATTCATAACCAATAAGTTTATTCACTTAAAAAAAATATTTTCAATAAAGCTTTGCAAATTTAAAGCCGTCAACAATGAGTTTGAAAAGTCCTTGATGAATAGCGTCATATTTTATTAATAACCTTAACCAGCATATCACACACATAACTTTTATAGAGGTGTTAGATAAAAGCGCCATAGCCCAAGTATTAAAACATAGTTTTAATTAAGTAGCGAATCATAGAAAAATTTCCCATTACTCCTACTACGAAAATGTCTCTTCTTTTGTTGTGTTACTGGCAACCCCCGTCACGCTCTAGTGTTAAAAATATTCGAATGTCAATTTTTAATATTTCTTAACTTTGATTAATTGAAATAAAATTGTGAAAGAAGTTTAAAATTTTCATTAAAAAAAATCAAGATTTTTTGAAAAAATCATACCTATATAATAAAAATAATTTTAATCTTTTCAAAATTTTCCGGAAAATAATTAAAATATTTTTGAATGTTAAATAGCAAATTCAAATGTTTACGCTTAAAATTGAAATACTCTAAAATACTAAATTATTTTTAGCCTCAATTAAAAAAATTTCAAATTTTCGAAAAAAATTCGAAAGTTTTCGAAAAAAATCATACTCTTTATAAAATATTCAGAGCTTTTTAATAAATATTTTTCGAATAGTATTCTATATACATATATACCTTCAAAATTTTCCGGAAAAAATTTGAATTTTTTGAAAATAAAATTTTAATGTAAATTTTTATGATTGTTAGATAAAAAAAAACTGTAAAAAGTTTCACTTCAAGTTCTTGCAAATTTTTGGAAAAAATTTCAAATTATGTAAAATTTATAGCAAACTCCTTAAGGCATTCATTTTGCGCTTCTTCAATATTCATTGATATTTAAAAAAAAACCTTCAAGCATTTTCACTTTTCTATTTCCGATTATAAAAAGGCTTTTCAAATATTTTACTACATAAATGTTGTAAATGTTAGAGATTTCGCCTTTTTGCACCAAATTTTTTGTGCACAAAAATAATCTAAGCGGTGTTTAACAAGTAGTTAGGAAAGACAATTACAGGGGAGTGTAAGCGGAGTACCACTAATACTACTGCATCTGCATATCAAAGCAAGTTGCCAGCTTCACTTTTCGTATTAACTTGAAGTAAAATAAATAACTTTTTCCTATAAGAAATCAAAAAATTAAATTTTTAAAATAGTCATTGGTTCAAACTAAAATCATTTACATGATGTCATTCGTTCTTGAAAGCATATCACTGCATTAAACATTTCCTTAAATCGCTAGCTGAGTGAAAAGTTGATAAGTGCATTTTTACAAATTTTACAGGAGAGGAAATAGCTTCTTATAGACATTTTCGCTGAGAATTTCGCAAAACATTGAATTCAGCATTTTTCGCATTTAAAGCAAAAGAAAAGCGATAAAAATTATACAACTTTTCACTGTAATCTAGCGAAATATTTCTTAATTTTTTGTTTTGTTAAATTAAAACTTTTCTAAGAAGTCGGAATTTCCCGAAAAACATTTTGGTAATTGAAGAATAAAACAAAAACCTAACAATTTCAAAATTTAAAACCAAAAAAAAAAATTTTCGAAAATTAAAAAAAAGTTGCAATGCTTAAAAAAAAAGTAAATATTTTCTGATTTGTTTAAGTGTTATAAACTTCCAAAAAAAATGTTTTTCTTTTATTTTTGTTATTATTTTTAATTTTTTTATTATTTTACCTCACTTTATTTTTTCATAAAATTTTTTTTAAAGTATGTAGTAAATCCTTGCAATCTATTCGCACTCATTAAAAATATGATACGCAAAATCACCATAAATCTTATCACTCTCCAATGCAAAATTGTGTCACTTCTGCAAAGAACAAATCGGCAAAAAATCCTTCACCTAAAGCACCAATAATTCACCCAGCAAATTCGTTTCAAATCCGCCTTTCACAAAATGTCTTAGCGCACATCACCAACCGCCGCCATCCAGTACCGTAATAAAAGTGCACTGGCCTCATTAGGTCTTACAATATAATCCAATCTATTTAATGCTGCCACCACAAATAACCACTGCAAACACATACTCGTACATACCAATGGACCTGCATATATTTACATACTAACGCTGTCCTGTCTCTCTCTCTTCTATTCACTTTGCTACTTTCCGTAGAGGTTTATTGCCGCAAATTAAAAAATTTAATTTAAAATTTATGAAAAGAAAGAAAACACTACTAAATACTTATTTAAGGCATAATTTAGTCAAACATACTACGTACATACATACATACAAATATGTACAATGTATGCGGGCAATTAAGTAGGTCGAGCCATTGACAGTACAGTCTCTCTACTCAACTCAGTTTCCTTCAAAAGCTTTTGTAAACTACTTGCATTGCCTTACATATGTATCTGCAGGTAACCGATGTTGACTTGGAAGTAAGCGCGGCCACTGGACGCAGTCCCTCATCGGACTCTGGGCTAGGCATGACATTGTCGGACATGAAGAATCGGTACAGAAAACTTAAAAAGAAAACAAAAGAAAAAGCAAACCGAAGATCCAGTAAAATTTTTTATAACGAAAATTTCTTTATTTTTCTTCTGCAAACACCGCAATGTTTTCTTTCTTCTCTTCTTCCCTCTTATATCTCTTTCTTTCCCTGTGTCCTTTTTAACATTGAAATTTCCTGGAAATTTTCCATCTCTTTTATTGTTTGCTTTTGGTAACTATTTATCCACATGGTCGCCTTGTTTACACCTTACGATGGGTGACCCACACGTTTATAGGCCAGCGCTACAGTTGCCCTATCGTCCCATGTCTGCCGGCCCCGTACTGCATCGCTCACCCCACTATTACCATCATCCAGCGTCATATCCACATCCGCATCCGCATCCACCACCAAATCATCATTCATCATTGCGTCATTTGGGAAGTGGCTCAGCTGCAGCGGCGCAACGGGAGAGGGAGCGGGAGGCACGTTGCGCTGCAGCCGTAGCCGCAGCTAATACAAAAACGATCGGCACCAATACGCCTAGCAAAATGGCATTGCAACAGCAGCCACAACAACAGCATGCATCATCGTTGGACATAAACAATCAATCAAATCAGAAAAAAGCATACGCCACGGGCGATAGTAACAACCAACCAAATGACAATCAGCATCAGGTGAACAAAAAAAAAAAACGCAAATTGTGATGCACAATTTAAAACCATAAAAAGTGTTATAAATTTTGAATGACAGAAATTTTAAATCGTACAAATGAAATCGCAAAAAAATAATTATTAAACAGACACTATCGCTGTCTCACGCTAACGCATAGCAAAGCGCAATGTTACTTTTATTTAAAATACCGCTTTCAACTATCTGTTACAGCTACCTCTCGCTTATCAACTTGTACGCGTACACTTGCTACTTCTCACTCTCCCACCACCTCTCTTTTAATAGTTCCTTATTTCATTTGAGCAACGCTTAATCTTCTTCTCTCCCTCTCACAAGTGGTATGCGTTATTTAGTCATATATTTAGCTCTTTCACACATGCATAGTTTTTCGCTCTTAAATTTCAAATCACAACTGATCTGGTTAACAGAAAAAATTCAGCTGTTCTTTGGAACATCTGCTGTTTGCTGTTTAAACGTTTGAAAAAATTGACATTCGATTTCGGTTATTTTTTTATTATCAGTTAGGTACACCTTTATAGAGGGAATTTGTTTCCTAGCCTAGGTTATGTGTTTTATGGAGCCCGTTTCATCTTATCACTGACACTCTGTCATTTTATTTTTACAAATGAACGCTTGAAAGTAGAAACTGGGTAAAAATTGTTGAAAATACAGAAACTGAAAATACATTTTTTAAAACTAAAAACTTAGCATACATTTTGCCTAATTTTAAAACCAGTTCCAGATCGTAGCTAACAGAGGCTGGATAGTTATATAGATAGATGAGTAGGGTAAGCATGGCGACCAGTAGGTCTATTGTGCCCTTAGCTAATCGCAACACTGAATCCAGCCCCAGAGACTCTATGAATTTTAGAATGAATCCCGGGGGCTCTTCACTCGCCCATATATTTCCTAAGCTCCTCTCCCTTCTTCGTGAAATGGCCTCGCACTCCAAGAGCAGGTGCAATGGTGTGTCTTTGGCGGAGTCAAAGATGCGACATAAGTCGTGTTACCAGATCCCCCGATTAAACAAGTAGCTTCTAAGCCTGTAATGACCCATCAAAATGCCTTTTGTTATTCTTCGCCTCTCCTTGTGGAGGTTAATAACTAGCCTTTATCTATTTCTATATTTCTGTATCTATTTAGACATGCCTTCGGGCATGTGCGCATAGCCCCCGTGATGCAAACACACGCCAGACATTGAATCTTGGCAAAGGACTGTCTTGCCAGAGTGGTACCCAAGCCACCGCCCCATAAGTTACTGTTATTGTTACTGTGCACCTCTAGGTCTTTCACGCTAGATACTTGCACACCATCAGCGCTCTCGTAGCCGTGGAAGTGACCGCCTCAACATGAGTCCTCCATAGAAGTTTTGAGTCCAGGATAAGACACAGATACTTAACTTATGCGACGGCATTGACCACGACCCCACCCAAGACCATAAAAGGGTCATAAAAGGGACAATGGCTGTCTTAAAGGGATTAATATTAAACCCCCCCTCAGCACACCACCTCTTTGTCTGGTTAAGTCCTCTTTGAACTATGTCGCAGAGGGAACTCGCGAGCTTCCACCTAGCAATAATAACTATGACACCCGGGTCCTCTTTGCAGCGGACGCCATTGCCAGTGAGTTTATGCTACAACTAAACTCCAAAGGAAAGGAGAACTCCTCCATGTGGGCAACATTTTGTTGTTTGAAGTTGTACTACGCTGTCTGCGACTTCAGTTTCAGCAATCCTGGTATGTAGTAGCCTAGCTATCCATTTGCGGAATTTATCGTTCATACAAAGCCAGTGCGCTTTCCTTTTCATTACCAGAATAAGTACCATCTGGTAGCCTTATGGCTAGTCTGTGTTCATGTGTTGTCCGAAGGGGTAGATGAAATGCTCTCACAGAAGGACCTCAAACTGCTACGCTTGGCATTTCTTATCGTTACCCATTTAAGCGGGAGGTGATTGTTGCATTTGAGGTTTCAGCAAAAGAAAGCCCGGATTTGTCCGGCATGCGCCACTATTATGTGTCGCTTTATTACGTCACTGGGCATCTCCGTCTTCCTGGAGTTGCTCGAACTAGTGGAGGTTGAGGGATGCGTAGTTGCACACCTTTCAATGTCCCTGCTTTTTTTGGTCCTTTCGTTTGCATAATTCAGTTCCTCTTATCCCGTAGGTTATAGAGTGGATTTATTTGTCAGGTTAACTCACTCCTATCTAGGTTTCTTCTTTGGCCCGGGCTTGACGATGCCCGATATTTAAGCTGAAGCTGAAGTTCTTTCCCGTGGTCACTAGTGGTAGCAGTACTTTTCACACCAGTGCCGGATTTGATGTCCCAACCCGCTGTTTACCTGTACAGTAAAAAGTAGATGTGTGAGAAGGTTCATTTAGTCATTCATTATTCGGCGTCAGATTCATATTTTAAATAACCAAAAATTTAACGTAGTTCCTAAGAGACCAAAAATTTAACTTCGTAACGTAAAAAATAGACGTCACTTTTTCAGATGACCCAAAATTTAGGTCCAGATTTTAATATGTAAAAACTTGTATAAACTTTTTAGTTGTCCAAAAATTTATGTCAAGTTTTTAATGACCAAAAATTTATATCCAGTTTAAGATTATCAAAAATTTTTTCGGAGTTTATAGATTGTTTTTGTCCAGATTTTAAGTCTTACACTTGATCGTCAAAAATTGATATCCAGTTTTTAATGACCAGTTTTAAAATTTCTAAGAATTTCCTCGCTGCTCTTAAAATGCCAAGAAATTATGTTCATCTTTATATGACTAAAGTTTGATATCCAGTTTGTGGTAATGGCCAAAAAACTAGACATAAAAGTTTCAAAATTATCAGTTTTTAAGTTAACTTTCAAGCGTTCAATTGGTTTACTACGTTTATGGAATTATTTGGAGATGGCTTTTGATGCAAATAATTACTTGAAATACAGAAAGCTTTCAAAAAAATCGAAACTGTGGTGAGAATATTGCCATTTGCTACAAACAAACGTTCCCATAAACGTAGCCTAAGTATGTGTTCACATTTTGTTGTGATTGTATGCGTGTTAAACTCTATTTTGCTTTCTACAAACTCTAGTTGTGTGCATTCAAAATTAACAGTTTCATATTTTCGAAAATTCTATAAAAAAAAAATATATATATATACATATCGTTGCCTTAATTGACAAAGGCCCTAACCAAAAAGCGAAAAATATAATAAAAAGAGTAGGGCTTTTTAAAAAGTGGCATGGAACTCCGTTGTTTCTGGTACTAACACTTCACAATTTTTATTGAAGGTGTATTTTAATACATCCTACCAAAATCTCTCAAAAGCGTAGTTTCGAAAAAGGTGATGGTTGGGGCCTTTGTGAGTTAAGGTAACGATGTATAAAATTATCAATTAATTTATTGGATTGGTATTTTTAGTTGAAAAAACATGTAGGCGAAATGTTTTTCTATACATGTGTAAGGTGTAGAGAACTTTATTCGTTCGTCGACAAATTTACCAATGATTTCAAAAAAGATTAATTAACACACACAAAAAAAAAATAAACTCTTTTCTTAGCAACTTCAAATAAGGCAACGAGAATATTTTTCACTTACATACATATTTCTGAGAATATACATATATACTTTGTTAAGTTCCCGAAAAGTGCTCAAAGTATTAGTTAAGTGCTTAATTGTGTGTCTGCGTGTGTTGTAAAACTGTTATTGTTTTCTTATCTCGAAGTACAATTCTTTGGTAGTCCGTATTTGTTTTTTTTTCTTTTGTTTTTTTTTTTTAAACACATTGGTTTTAATTTGCAATCATCTACTTATTTTTATATGTCTCTAGGAATACGGCTGTGATGACCATAGGTCCCGTAGAGGCAGTGAAACTCAAATACCACACTCGGAATACGAACAAGATGCGGTGAGTAGTGAAACGCGCATACACGTACAATATACTTACTTACTTAATTACATACTTAAGCACTTAAACAAACACTTTTATTCCTTTAAACAATTTTTGAATGCTCGAAACTTATGAGTCTAAAATGAGTCTTTCTTTCGTTATACATATGATTCTGAGAGCAGGCAAATAGACTCATTTCGGACTCTTTTGGTTTCATAAATTCTTATGGGAACAATAGTAACAAAGTTCACGTCGAAGTAAAAGTTTTTTAATAAACATAATTATAAAGAATATTTGTTTTTAAGACTCAGAAAAGCGTCATATTCAGACTCTAATATGACTCTTAACTCGGACTCGTATTGGCGTGCCTTTCAAAGAAGGGAAATGTGCTCTGTTCTGACTCTTTTTTGAGCTCATAAAGAGGGTTACAACTCTAAACTGAGTCCGAATTTTTATAGGGATGCTTATGCGCATTAAATATATGTACATATGTACATACATATGTACGTGCGCTTGAATCTTTGAAGAGTTTTGCCAAAAAGTGGGTAGACGCTTCGATGTGCCAAATAAAATCTAAGCAGCTAATATACATATAGTACGTAAAATATTTCCGTTGTACATTTCTTATTAAATAAAATCAACAACTTTATTGAATCAATATTCATAAATTACTCTGTAAGAATAATAAAAAAGATACAAAATAAATTTCCGCCATTAAGCAAACGACGAAAACACTTAAATTCATACAACTTAAAAAAATACTATATACTACATTTCGTTGTAGATCCTTTGCAATATATGTATATTTGTAGGCATGTATGCATGCATGTGTTAATATAAGTGCATAGTTTAATAGTAGCGTGCCTAAAATTAATCCTTCTCCAATTTCCTCAACACATTTGTTTCTCATTCTTCATACTCCTTCTCCTCCTCCTTCTCTTCCTCCTCCTCCTTCTCCACATGGACTCCAACAAATTACTCCCTTACGTTTAACTGCTTCACTTGGCATTCTTCATATTTCCCCCAATTGATTTCATTAATTAAATCAATGAAAAAACATTGATGAGATTAAATCCGTTTTTCGTTACCACTGCGTTTGGTTGAATATGTATGTCTGCATTTATATATATATATATAGCGGTGTCATTGTGAGGAGTAAACTCGTGCGGCTCACATTTTTTCATGCAATGTCGGTCGAAACTCCTCCGCTCCACCTTGGCAGCTGCGATTTGGTGGCAATGTGCTCGTAGTGGTGATTATATCATTGATTGGCAAGTGGTAGTCGCGCGGCGGTGTGTATGGGCGTACCAGGCGATGCCAGTTGTTTGGCGGACTACCGTTGGGTTCATATTTCGGGCGAGGTATCCGCATTTGTTTGATTTCGGTTAGGTAAGAATCCATAGTGTTGGGTTGCTCAGTGGCTGGGTGGCTCTATGTCCGCTGAACTAGAAGATGTGCGGCTAGCTGTTGGTTGAAGTGTACGAGCGCTGCAAATGAAAAGAAGAAAGAAAGAATGAAGTACAGGTTTTACAGTGAGATCTAAAAAAATAAGCGTTGTGAGCGATTAAATTAATTGCTTTAAAAATGGTATTTTCTAGAAAATTGAATTAGACTGGCATTAAATGGCGATTGAGTATTTGAAGTCTTTTGCCGTTAATCACTGGATGCTTAGTTGGTTGTTTATTCCAAATGAAATTTTCATTTAATGTTTGGCATAAAGACTTAATTTTCTTGGAACTTTTATTGAGTTTGTAACATTGTTAACGCTATTTACTCCTTGGTGGGAGTACAAGAGAGTTAAGTAGCAAATTTTACAGAAGTACAGACGTAGTTTTTAACCAATTTTAATAAATTATTTTATTAAAATGTACAACCTATACGGCGGTTCCCTAAGCGTTGTGGTAATGTTGTACATATTGGAAGTAAAAGTGAAGGCCTCAGTGCGCGTTTTCAAATCGTCATAAAAAGTTTTGAGATTAAAATAAAATATATTTGATTTCGTTTCTCTTGCCAAACTGTTTATAGTGTGAAAATCCGTTGATATAAGTGCAATAGTTTTCCAAGTTTTTATGAACATTCATTTTTGGTTTTTGAGTCAACTTTTCTCTGAAATAAAGAAATGCTCACTGAAAATTCTTGTTGCTTGCTATTTGAAAAATGTTTACATGTTTATATGAGAGTGTTCAGGCTAAAAGCACTTTACTAACTATGAGTGGTACCAACATCGGGACAGAAAGATTTCTTAGTAGTAGGAGGATCGATATTCACACATAAACAGTGCCCTGAAATTGCAATACCGAGGTATACTATGCATCCGAAGTTCAGCTTTATAAAGAGGTTTAAAACTGATCTAAGTAATAAGAAAACTGGACAGGCATATCCGAGACATATCGGATAAACCAATACATGAAAAGAGCACTGAGATAAGTGTGGTTGGAACGAGGTTGAGATACTCGGAAACTATGAAAAAGTATATATTTATGAGCATATATGTCACTTCCTTCTCCCGCCAGAAAACAAAACGCTAGGCATTCTTCTTGCACATGTTTCATTCAATGGAGTTCCAGAAACAAGTTAAATAAAGAATAAATCAATATTTGAACAATTTTAGCCTTAAAACGTTTATTTAGGCAAAAAAAACCCGAAATTACTCACTTTTTCATTATCAAAATAGTTTTTTTTTAATAACTTTGGAAAGCTTTAAAATAGAGTAATCATATTAGAGTCAATGGACGTTAGCATCAAATACCACATATCTGAGAAGTTTCAAGAGTGTGACACCACATTTGAAAAATGGCAGCATGCATAATACTTGTCGCATCAATTTTGTAATCTTTTTAATTATAATAATTTAAGATACTACAAAATAATAAAATTCAACGGTGAAAATGGTATCCTGGCCGAACGAATCTAGTGTAATAAAACTAGTGTGCTACCAAATGAAAAAAAAATTACATTGAGTAAAATATGACTATGATTTGAGAAACTAACCGCCCAATTCTGTGTTTTCTTGATCAATTATTTGTTAAGCAATTTTATCGAGATTTTTATCAAGTAAAAGCTCCCATCGCATTCTGTGTCAATATTTATAAAACAAAAAGCTCTACGATTTCCACAAGAGGGTAACTGATTTCATTGTCACATATAAAAAATATGAATTTAAAAGCAAAAAAAGCGCGTGACTGCCGTAGAAATGTCGGCTATAAATTCTGTGTGTCCCTGGTTCAAATACCGGCACATTTAGTTTTTAAATGATTAAAATGATAGAAAAAAATTTTTAATATACAAAATTTATAATTTTCATATTGATGGCTGAGTGGAAGATCGACCTATCTCGGCAGCCAGTTCGAAAACGCCCTATCTCAAAAAACTTTTCAAGAACGCCCTACTTCAGAATTGGTACTATGGAACCATGTTTTTAACCGGCGAAGGGCAACTTCTTTCTGAAGTAGCGTTACGTACTAGAAGTGTAGTCAGAATGCGAAGAAGTTTGTTAATCAACGGAAAAGCATATTCGTCGTCCCATTTACCAATAACTTCTGCTGCTGATTTTAGGTATGGCTTTTCGCTTACCTCATTTGTTCATCGTTCTGACCACGCTTTATACTCTCCTTACAAAATGATAGCGACTTTTTGTAGCGTATTATATTCCCTAATTTTATATGTATGGAAGTAATAGTTCAACTCAAAAATGTTTATGTAATGTATATTTCGGCAATCTTTCTCGGAGATCGAGCTAAATATTATGCGATAGCGGTATAAATATTACCTTTCGATAATAATCTTCGGCGCTAGATGCGCGATAATTAGCCCGAAAATTTCATCTATCCGCTCTCTGAGGAAGGACAATGTCCAAATAGTATAATTCCTTAGCGATATCGGTAACTAACGCGGCAAGCGCTTTTTCTACGCATTTTGCTGTTATCCCCCTACGAATGTCTGGTTACACAGTTTAATGGGAAATTTTCTACATTCTTTGCGGAAATAGACAAAAAGTAGTACCAAAAAGTTTGATTCGACATGCATACATATAGTTCTTATCATAACTTTACGACACTCACATATTGGCAAGATTTCACCATTTATTTTAAAATTTTTTTAATTTTAATTATTGTTTCTTAAAGGTATAACATATTTTTAACAGAAACCATATAAATCCGAGTTTCAATCTTGGTGAAAAATTAAAAAAAAAAATCAACAAACTTTGTAAAAATTTCGAGCTTTTTAATTCGATTTTTTAGAAACATTTTGAGTGTGCAGTTTTGTATCCCAATTTCAAGTACCATTGAGTTTTTTTTTCGTCGAAGGTGTTGCTCATTTTCTCCATATAACAAAGAAAAAAAAATCATCGAAAATGTTTTGTATGGAATAAAATGGCTAACATGGTCAACAAAAAAAAAATAAAATGCCAAAAATCAGTTACTTCAAACTTGCAGTATAATTGAATGGGCTAAAAAACTGCTTACTCAAAACATTTCTTAACAATAAAACTAAAAAGTTCGAAATTTTTGCGAAAGTTTGTTGATTTTTTAAAACGTTTCACAGAGATTCAATCTTGGATTTACATGGTTTTGTTTAAAGATTATACTATTTTTTTTTATAAACAAATAATGAAAATTAAAAAATATTAAGAAAAATGGTCACATCTTGCCAAAATGTAAATGCCGTAAAGTTATGACAAGGTCTATAAATTCATAGTGTTTGCATACCCATTGTTGTAAATTTCAATTTAAGAGATTTACATGCTTTCTTATTCTGTAAATAAGGGGATTATGATTGAAGATTAAAAAAAATTTTTTCTTTTTTTTCAAATTTCTCGTTCGAGGTAATATATTTGGCCCCTCCCCTGTATCCGTCACTGATACCAACAATTAAACAAAAATGCTATTAAAATATTTCTTATCGAAACTCGCTACAAAAACAGCTGCAGCCCAATTATAAAAATGATAAATGTAAACAAAAATTATTGCAACGCTACAAAAAATGCACGAATATACACATGTATGTATGTACATGCGAATGCACATAGTTACGTGTGTTTGAAAATGAGCAGAGAAGCATGAAGCGTACATATCGTTGTTGCACTCAACACCCACCCGTCGCAACAGTCCTCTCCTCACACTAATGTGCCGGTAAAAATGTGTTAAATGCAACGAATGAAAAGTGAAAGTAAAGCAATGGTTAGCAGAAACAACAACAACAACAGTAACAAAAAGCGAATGCGCTGTAGAAAAACAGCGAAACAAGCGTCAAAATTGAAACGGAAAAACGAGTAGGAAAACCGACAATTGAGCGCTGAAAAACCACAACAACAGCAACTTAACAACCTGCACAGCAAGCATTGCAGCAACTTTAGTCGCAATCAAAGCAAACAAAAATGGGAAAAACGAACAAAATAACGAGGAAAAAACACGTCTAACAACAACAAATTAGCAGTAGTAGGTAATAGTAATAAGTAATTGCGAGCGATAACAGCGCAATCCGCTGCCATAACAGGCCATAATAAATGGCAGCTAAAGTTGTGGGCAGGCAGGCAGTCAAACTGTCGACGCCACATCAGGCCAATTGCAACCGGCGGCGACACGCCAGCCAGCCGGTGGACGACTACGACGACGACGAGGACTGGTTAAGTGGCGGCGCGCTGACGACTAACTGGCTGAGTGGCTTTATTAGTTAGTCGCACGTCGCCTGTCATCCCCTACGTCTGCGCGTCTGCCGCCTGCGTCGATTCGCCACTACGTCAGTGTGACGTTTGTTAAACGCCATGTGCCGCCTATTTGCTACACATTAGACACAAAAAATGTGAACTGTGAACTGTAAATGGGCAACAAAAACTAAGGGCAACAACAGCAAAATATTGCCGGCGGCACTACAAATTCCCATAGCGCCAGCTTATGTTGTACCTAAACTCACTTGCTGCGCGCAATTACATTAATTTCCGCCATCGCAACCACGCCAACAAAGGCGCACAAAGCCGCGCAACGCAAGCGGCACAGTTGCCGTCACACGCTGCCACATGCAACTACACCGCAACTAAATAGCAACATGACAGCATAAATATGTAGTAAATAGCAACGGCAACAGCAACAGCAATGAGGTGCAGAAGTCAAAAACAGTATGCAGACACTTTGCCACTGAGCTTTGTATGCCACATAGAGGCATGTGTGTGTGTGTGTGTGTGCGTGTGTTAAGAGTGCGCTTCGTAGCACCACTGACACCGCCACCACCACCACCACCATCATCCTCAGTCCCTTTACTTTTGACCAAACCATCGCTTTGGTTGCCCGCCGGAAAATGCATTGCAGCGATTTTCCGGTTTTTGCGCCTGCCCACAGCTGGTTTTCGTTTCATTGCATTTCGTTTGCCTTAAATCAACTCAAGGTTTTTTTTTCTCAGCTGTCACTATTTTTGTTAACTTACTCAATATTATTGTTGCTAGTTGCCATTTTTCACCAACACAATAAGGTTACAACATGTTTGGGTGTCC